GGAGAGGGAGAGGGAGAGGGAGAGGGAGAGGGAGACGGAGACGGAGACGGAGAGGGAGAGGGAGGGAGAGAGAGGGAGAGGGAGAGAGAGGGAGAGAGAGGGAGAAAGAGAGAAAGAGAGAGAGGGAGGGAGGGAGGGAAGAAGGGCAGGAGGGAGGGAAGAAGGGAGAGGGAGAGAGAGGGAGAGAGAGGGAGAAAGAGAGAAAGAGAGAGAGGGAGGGAGGGAGGGAGGGAAGAAGGGCAGGAGGGAGGGAAGAAGGGAGAGAGAGAGAGAGACAGAGAGAGAGAGAGAGAGATCACAGGCTTACCAGTATGGGGAGGTGGTGTATCTGGAAAGAAATGGGGAATAACAGGAGTGAATATGATCAGGATACATTGTATCCAAGACTTTGTTTTAAAAAGATAATAAATGGGTTTATTAAGTGGAAATAAAATCACTCTGGTTATCTTTTAAAGGGGGAGGGGAATCACTTCCAAGCATTAATAAGCTAGTGAGCTGGGATAAGGCTGAAATACCAGCAGCTGCTGTACTCCAGACGCTCCGTGGATCATGACACAGCATCCACCTCTCCCACCTCTGTTGGACATGTCCTATTTGCTGTGTGAATCCCGTGTGGAGAAGGGTTTCTGGTCCTTCTCTGCCAAGTGGCATCTCTCCTCTGTCCCCAGTGCCTATGCTTTAGCCACAATACTACGTAGGCAACAAAAGTTCAAACGAATTGATGCCAACTAAAATTACAAATTCACTTCTTTGGTCATCCACCAAAGTCTTTAGTAGCCACACATGGCTCACGACTATTGGGCTATGTAATTTATAACATGTATTATCAAAGCATGCTCTGGAGAATACAGTTATGATGTCTTACTTGAGGCCAGTCTCAGCTGGAATAATGGAGAAAAGGTGATGAGAATATTGCCAGGTTTGGTGTGTAACAGGTTATGAATGACAAGAGCCATAAGCATAAACAAGTCAGGAAATAGTCACACCCTGCACAGTGTGCACATGGGGTCCTTTGGTAAGCGGTTTCTGGAAGTTTCCCCATCTGAGTTTGTTCTCTAATAGGGATATCTGCCAGGAACTGATTTACATCTGCCAGCTGCCTTTGGTTCTTACCTGTGGCTCTCCTCCCGGGGGCTTTGTTTTTCAGGGTTTGCATCCTAACTCTCTACCACAGCTAATCACGGAGAGGAAAGATGGAAACAAACCCAAGATTTGCATCTTAGAAATTGAACTTTTCTCATTTGCTTTTTTAAAATCAGACCTCAGTTATCATGTCATAAATAAGCTGTTGGAGATTAGAAAGGGGTGATGGCTCGAATGTCATTTGTCCTCTCAAAAGTTCATTTGCTGAAAGCTTGATCCCTAGAGTAACCATACAGAGAGGCAGTAGGATCACTGGGGCTCCATTCTCATAACAGGGTGAATGTAGACTTCAGAGTTGATTGGGTAAGCATGGGTAGCTTGCTATAAATTGAGCTCGAGCTTCGTCTCGGGTCCCTGTTACGCTCCCTCTGTCACTCAGGTGATCCTCTTCACACATCCCCATCCCTCCTACCTCCATGAGCTGACACTGAGCTCTCAAACTCCAAAGCTGTGAGCCAGAGGAAAGCTCTATCTACCCTCTGTTACACACCCAGGACCCAGTGTTTTGTTAAAGCTACATAAATCTAAGGCAGTCATGACAATCGAGTCCTAAACACCTTACTCTTCAAAGCAGGAATATTCTTTCAAGACACAAATTTTCTCCAAAAGGAGCATATATACCAATGGCGTAATGAAGCTGTTCAATATATATCATGCCCAGGCCCTGATTAAACTAGTAACTAGTATTGTATCTATTACAGGGAAAAGAAATCTGAGGTCATTCTTGGGGCTCACTCAATAAAGAAAGAGCCAGAACAACAGATATTATCTGTTAAGAAAGCATATCCCTATCCATGCTATGACAACTATACACATGAGGGTGATCTACAACTTCTACGGGTATGTACCTTCGGTTGTCTTTTTGAGTCACAGAGCCTTCTAAAGTCTTACCACGTGCATGAGAGAGTATGTCTCTAGTCCCCTCCCTGGTACTAATAAGAGAGCCCCAGAGGACTGGGTAAGAAGTTCAAACACTAATACTAATCCCATACTCTGGTTATGTTTTTCTTCCTACAGCTAAAAAAGAAAGCAACAATTAACAGAAATGTGGCTATCCTTCACCTACCTAAAAACGGAGATGATGTGAAACCAGGAACCAGATGCCAAGTAGCAGGATGGGGGAAGTTTCACAATAAGTCACCTGCCTCTGATACTCTGAGAGAAGTCAACATCACTGTCATAGACAGAAAAATCTGCAACGATCAAAAACACTATAATTTTAACCCTGTGATTGGACTAAATATGATTTGTGCAGGAAACCTCCGTGGTGGAAAGGACTCGTGCGAAGTAAGTGAAACAAAATGGAGTGTGTTAGCTACTGAAGCAAGGCACGTGGTGTGCATGGTGTGATGTCATGCTTGGCCTTGTCAGAACATTGGCTTCTGCAGGTTCTGCAGTGCTGCACTGTGCTGGATGGATGGATGGATGGATGGATGGATGGATGGATGGTTGGTTGGTTGGTTGGTTGAGACAGGGAGTTCCACTATGTAGCTCTGGCTGTTCTGGAACTTACAGAGATCCACCTATCTCTGCCTTCCAAGTGCTGGGACTAAAAGCGTACACTACCACACTAGCCTTCTACTATGCTTTTTGAAATTTGGTAAGATATAGGTTAAAAAGAAAAAGAAAAAATCACAGTAATAAAGTCATTAAAATAAAGAATTCACTGCTAAGACCATTGGCAACCTTCTACATTGACTTTGTTTCATATATTAAAAAGACAAATATACTTGTTTTTAATTATATTTTTAAAACATATAAACATATACATCATATACATCTACATATACAAATGTGGTGTTCCTCATTTTTCTTATATTACTATATAGAGATATGAACAAGAGATATAAAATTCTAAAGAGTTCCTGGAAAGCCTTCCATCTTTCCCACTTCACCACAACCCCAAATAGCCTTTGCTGTTTTTGAAATGCCAACCATTCCCACATCTGCCCAGGGACCTAGGACTGGACCACATAGTTTCTTAGCACTGAGCCTAGTAAACAATCTCAGGCATGACCCCCACGAGAGAATAGAAAAGCATCCCTCCCAGTGTCCCCAAAAACAGGAGGGACAGGACCTGATTAAAGACAAGAATTAAAAACAACACTAAACAAAATTTTAAACCCTCAGTTCTAGCTTGTCAATTCTCGCCTTTCCCGAAGAGTCACCCTAAGGAGAGGGCACTGTGTGTTATCAGGGAGTTGTCAGAGGAGTCAGAAGAATTAGGCCTTGTGTGGAGGATCAAGGTTGGCCAAACGCTAAGAAGACAAGACATTTGTTCTTCACATCCTTCCTCTTTTTACTTTACCCTCCCTCCTCATCACCTCCCACATCCTTACTTACTGCACCCAGGAACCTGACTTTCCCTTTTTGGGAATCACAGGCACCGCCCAGAGGCCACAGCAGCATCCTTGGGGATACTTGTCTCACACCAGCCCCAGAAACACGGAAGCTTGGCAGTGCTTCCCTGATCTTTCAGTGTCCAGGAATGGCTGCTGATGAGTCAAGTCTACAGGGCTGACTCTGCACACTGCAGATGCTGTAAGAGGGAGGAAGTGTGCCTTAGCAGGGATGGCCGTCCTCACATAACTCATCACTCCATACAGATATAAAGCCAACCCTTCCCTGAAAGGAGAATAAATATATGTGAGAGAAACCGGAAAACATAGCAGTTTCTCTTCACCTAAGTGTATCAGGGGCTTGTGCCTGTTTCACTCCTTGAATTATTAATAAGCATGTTGAAAAAAAAAGGATCAAGAAGAGCTGCTTTCTGGAAGGAGATAATCTCAAAATCAGTGAATAAAATAAGTAATACTACTTTCATTTCTGCTTTCACTAATCTGTAAGTAGTAAAATACTGCTTATCATCTAGATGTTTTGAGAAGTAAGGTTCAGTGAAGTCTGGGCTGGTCTTTGTATTAAGTGCTACAGAACTTGTCCCCCGTCCATACTGACCCCACCTTACCCTAACCCTCTTGTTTTTCCAGGGGGATTCTGGAAGCCCTCTGCTATGTGAGGGTATCTTCCGAGGCATCACAGCTTTTGGTCTTCCGAAGAAGTGTGGAGATCCCCGAGGGCCTGGCATCTATACTTTCCTCTCAGACAAACACCTCAAATGGATAAAAAAGACGGCGAAGGGCGCTGTGTAAATGTGTGACTGTCACTCCACCCACTGTCACTTCTGTGTCTGAGCACAAATAAAATCAACTTGAACGGCTGCATGTGCCCTTGTCCTGTAATGTTCTTAGGCAGATCTCCAGTATAATGCAGGAGGGAGATTAGAAAATCAGGACCACCAGTGCATCCAAGGATGGGGTAATTTCTCCCTGAATAAAGCACTTTGCTCTCAGATTTCTGACAGGAAGCATAGTGAGGGGCTCAGCATTCTGAACTGCCTAGTCTAGGGTGTAGGAGTGAAAAGGAATGAAGCCCCACCCCCTGCACTGTCGCATTTCCACAGGCTTACTCATAGGCAACAGGGGACATAACTCAGAACTGACTCAGGGGTAGGTTCCCTAGGCAAATGTGCACTGCACTGTCTTGTGGCCTTTGGACTAAGATGAAGCACAGCCCAGGACCCACATCTAAAGATTCTGAGTTAGTTGATATTGATGGAACTCAGAACATGGAATTCCTTACCTTATGTCTCCCATGATGGGTACCACTCAAGGATCAGACTCCCTGAACTACAAAATGAAGCTTTTATTAGAGATGGGTTCTGAGATGATATTTTAGACATGTCATAATCTTTAATATTGATTTAAGATTATAATTACAACAAATATAGTACTCTATACTGAATGCTATTTTTTAATTGTTAGCTCAAGCCTTCATGCATTGCTAGTTAAAGTACAAATTTGCTTCTCTTCCTAGAAAATTACTAGTGTTTATTGAAGATTAACCCGTTAATATTTTATAACTTAGCAATTCTACTCTTGGAGAATATACCAAACTGAAATGAGTGTTTGCCCACTAAAGATATATTCAGTAATGTACATATCAGATTAAGGATTTAAACTCTAAACTCTAAGTAACTTATGTAGCCGGGCCTTTGCCTACTTTATTTGGGTTCCTATATCTACCACCCTTCTCTACTCCAATCCCCTCCAACTCCCAGCACTAGGTAGGTGAGAAAGAGGATTAGAGAAGAAAGAGGATGTAGCTCTCTTTAGAATACTTCTTGCTGATTAGGTGTGTCAAGTTCTTTGGGAGAAGTTCAATCTTCATCATTAGGATATCTCCAACTAGCAATCCAGCAACCCAGGAAAAGCAGCAGCAACCAGCAGCAGTGGGGACAGCAGCAGCAGTGAGGACAGCAGCAGTGAGGACAGCAGCAGTGGGGACAGCAGCAGTGGGGACAGCAGCAGCAGTGAGGACAGCAGCAGTGAGGACAGCAGCAGTGGGGACAGCAGCAGCAGTGAGGACAGCAGCAGTGGGGACAGCAGCAGCAGTGAGGACAGCAGCAGTGAGGACAGCAGCAGGGACAGCTGCAGTGGGAACAGCAGCTTTGGGGACAGCAGCAGTGAGGACAGCAGCAGGGACAGCAGCAGTAGGAACAGCAGCAGTGGGGACAGCAGCAGTGGGGACAGCAGCTGCCATAGGCCCGCCCAGACCTCTCACATTTATACCCTCTAAAGAGTTCCCAGAATTCCAAACTGCATGCGTGTTTATTTC